CATATTTTTGGTTGGTAATCGATCGTCGAGACCATTAGCTATGAGAGAGTGCATAGCAAACCTGGTAGGATATTTCTTCCTCGATCAACTCGTAGTTGAGATCCTGGTAGTATATTTGAATTTTAAGAAGGTTGCTCCTGTTTTAAAGAATAAGAACGTAGAATATCAGWGACTGCGTGATTTTACGATCATGAGACCGAAATGAATCATGGGAACAATCGGTGTGACTCAAGATACTATAAAAACAATAACATCACTTTAGTTAGGAAATTTAAGGAAACGACGAAATTTGAACAAAGTAATTTTCATCTACTTTGGATTCCCGCCTTGCAACCGCAACACGCTTACTAAGACCACCCCTTTTAAAGGCCATATTTTAAAAGTCCCTTTTAAAATTGCTTACATTTTTTCTACTCAGTTGGTACCCCGTTAATACGGTTACCAAATTCGATGTCACTTTGATTTTGTCYGGATTTAAGGAGATGCCTTTATAGCGTGAAAATTGCGCTTTCTAACGCTCATGACAATGGATCAATGGATCCCGGTTTTCATGTTTGTTATTTTAGGTGGGGACCGGTGACATTTTAAAGAAACACGATGGGAAATGTCAGATAAAATCATCCTAACAATTGGGTTTTGTGGTTCTTTTACAGAGAGGGCAAGAAAGTGATACAGATAGGATTATTGAGATTATTCAAGAGCAAATACCACAATTACCGTCAAAACGTTATTATATATACTGTACAATGCTTGTTGAGTGATTAGAAATACTGAGTGAGAAAACTTAACTTACCTTATATCTTTAGCTGATACATTCATATCGAAGGCAACTTCGTCCTATTTAAGAAACACAGATATATTAGCCACCACAAATCAGCCAAATTATAAGCCAAAAACGGCAACATATAATTGTTRCAATTTAAAAGAACAAAGAAGTTGATGGCAATGAAAGCATTCACAATAATTGAAAACTAATGAGAATTAAAACCTGGTGGGATGATTTCCTCGTTCAATATTGATTTTATAGTTAGAGCTATCTCAGTAGCATTTTGTTAGTGCAGCTCATACAACCCTTCTTTATTTGATAAGGCATCAATTAGAGCGGATCCTGAGGCTTTTTCTTTGTGCAACGCGCACCCAATTGATGCCAAAGAAATTGATCCATTTTTAAATCAATCCAATGGTCAATACGAGGTAAGATCTTTGCGCAAGAGACTAAAAACCGATGTCAAATAAAGCAGCGGTTGTTCGCCTTGAATACTCCAGTTTCGAATTCTCCAATGCTCTGTGTTAGCCTCATTTGTGCGCAAAATAATCCTTATTGTGAGCGTAAAAGTGTGAGATTTCAAATCAATTCTTATTGTCTTTCTTCACAAATTCCATGCGTTTTCTCGAGCTATCAAAGAAACAAAAGAATATGTTACTTGGTTTTGAGGCTAACACAGAGCAAACCAGAACTCGAAATTGGAGTATTCGAAAATGGAGTATTGTGCATAAGCATTTTATCGGCGACCGTTGGAAGCGTGTCGAAGAAAGTCATCAAGAAGCAGGGCAACATGAAGGCTAAGTTACCTGATAATTTTCCGATGGCCACGAAGAAAAGGACGACATCGATCGATACACGTCTTGTCTATAAAAGATACAAATGTAACCCTGTAAATTTGCTGTAAATACTACATCATAGCTATTTACCTAATGACGCTAACCCAATCACGCTTCATTGTTTTGCCTTAGTTTCTTTTGACATTTATTTAAACGTTTAACGGATCACTCTTTCTTGAGAAGCGTTTGCTTGAAAATTCCCCTACAGGCCCGTAGGGTGGGGGGTGGGGGTTCGGGGGTTGGTTTCTCTTTTKTTTATTGTTCYATTTTAAAATTCTTTTGTTATGAACTGTTTTTGAGATTGTAATTTTTCATGTCATGCTCACTATACTGTGCATTGAACTAATTTAGTTGTGTTTAAGTCCGAATTATAAAAAAACGAAAAGTAGGTGTGAAAAGTACTGAAAATTTTATTTAAGGGATATCTACATGACATTCACAGCAAGGTTAAGCCGTTTACGTACGCCCCTGATGGTCACTCTATCTTTCATTCATAACAGAGATTGTACTCACGTGCAGGGGGGTGGGCAGCTATTTGAACAATTTAGTTTGTTTTTCTTTGCAAGTTGACTCACTTTTCTTAAACATTTAACTGGAAAAAGAAGATTGAACATATAATTAATGGACCTTCTATGTGTACATGAGAGCCATTTAGACATCCATATATACTCACTTTTCTTAAACATTTAACTGGAAAARTAAGATTGAATATATAATTAATGGACCTTCTATGTGTACATGAGAGCCATTTAGACATCCATATATGGAAGTCTTACGGTAAACTCTACTCGTTGAATGGGTCACAAACACTTCTGATGTCTTGTTTAATCAACGATTCTTTTCCCCTCCTCTTCCCCTCTCCATCTAGACTAGTTCCTGGTTTACCTATTGAACTGTTGAATGCGTCACATACAATCTTGWCCTTAGGATAGTATTTGTACTCCATACATCCACACTCTAACTTTTGATTGAAAGCTATACAAGACTGGATGCATGCCTGATATCAAAGAAAAGGATTTATAGAATATTCAAATAGGATCCCCTTCAATGCCCAATCTGGTACCATGGCCCGCACAGTAGATATAAGTGGTTGTGGCATATAGTTTACAAAACCAATGGAAAGGATATATCAGACTGCAAATCAATCAGCCAATCAGCGCGCGTACTCTCTTAGAAGTATAATAATCTATCAAGCAGTTAGTCCAATCTTGACCTCCTTTCGACCTGCTCCATGACTCGTCGGGAAAGAGAGTCCAGCATAAATTGCAAGCCCATTTGCAAAGCGACCCAATCATATTAATTATCACACACGTAGCGACCGCTTTGAACTTTCAACGCTCTAGAAACGGAAAATGTAGAAATGCTAGCGATAATTTTGATTTGCACTACGAATGGYGAACGATAGATTTTGTTCAGTAAACAATGACAGKTGGAAATAATAGACCTGTTTACCCGGGAGCATGCAAATAAMATTCTGTCAGTCTTTCTGTCTGTTGTTCAACCTGAAATGCGCATTCAAGTTATACCGGACTCTCTTTCCCGGAAGTACTGGAGCGAATCGAAAGAAGGCCAGGAATGGACTATTGACCCAGTATAACCAAACTGTGAAGGTAAAAGTAAATCTTACTTACCATCGTCGAGTAAGAAGTGTTGAATTTTTCTGCATACAAGTTTACATTGTTGTCCGTATTTGTAGCAACGCAAGACTTGTTCCCAAACCTGTCTTTCCTTATAATTCGAATCTAACGATATAAAAGCATGTATAAATATGCAGTCAATAAAGTCAGTGCTGGCTACGCGATTGCAGATGTTCACTTATATTGACAAAGTAAGCTACGTGAAGCTGTAAAAAAATTTGGTTTCAACCTAAGACCATTCATAGACCTCAAACGCCTCAAACAAAGTGACTCAAATTAAGTAGTTCGTAGTGACTTGTCCTACAGATTTTAAAATCAACGGCTAGAGTAATCCTTGTTCCAAGCCTGCTTGTAAACGCACAACAAAGGAGAGTTTGATAACAGAACTGTATTCTTCTAAAMGTTCGCCTTACCAATCGCATCCCTAAGGATGTGGAAAAACCAGGTGCAAGATTTATTCCTTCTTCGTATGGAAAAGGCATGTCACCACGTGGTGATACGTGCAATACTGCACCAGCATCGTGGGTCAGTTGGTCGAGGTACTCATTCTGCTGGATATCGACTTCTAGTGTCAATCCTATAAAAAAGAACAAGTACTGACTACATTTATTCTATATTGCGCGAATAGTCTGCTTCAAGGTTCCCTGAGCCATCTTGAAAGGTATCTGTGAATTTACACCGAAGTGAGACAACCGTTAAGCGTGCAATGATAGAGACCTATGAAAAATTGTCTTTCGTCTCAMTTCGATGCAAAGGCACTGAGCGCAGGAAACTCTGGCGAAGACATTCTTACATTCTATTGGACAACAATTCATGCTTTGGAAGATCTATCAAAAAATCAAGGAGGTGACATGYAGAAATATTTGGATTCTGAAATTCTTAAGGTGTTTCGATCGTAATAAATAGCGCTTCGCGCGTAGTTTTAAACTCCAACTACGTCGCAAATTTCGATTCCATTGCGCTCGAGTTATGGTGGACCAWAAAATTCATGCATAGTAACCGTTCAACCATATATATTGGAAAGATAACCTGAGTGTCAACCTGAGTTTTATACATTTTTCATCCAATTCATTAATAATTCATNACGGTTTTTAGATGGAGCATGAGAATTTAGGACAGAAGTGAGTGTAGAATCATACTGGTTAAGTAAGCTATGTAGATCATCATTAGGAGATATGACCAGAGAAGAATTTGAGATGTCATGAATAATAGCATCAGAATTTATTGCCTTCATGTTACGGCTTTTTGTCACAATTTTTTGGAAAGGAGGTTTTTTGATTTTGAGATGACCGAAAACAGCCGAGTGAAAAGAAATTGAAGGATCAGAAACGGAAATATTACAAATAACATCTTCTCCAGTCCTTGTAATTACAAGGTCAAGCGTATGTTTGCCCTGATATGTTGGCTCTTTAACATGTTGAGTCAAATTAAAAAGCTCTAATAAATTCAGAAATTTAATTGCAGAGGAATTAGAAGAGTCATCAACATGAAAGTTGAAATCCCCCATCAAAAGAAAAGAGCCTGATCTAGCAGAAAATTGTTCAAGAAAAATGGAAAATTCTTCCAAAAACATAGCATCAGAAAATTTATTACGTTTAGAAGGGGGAGGTCTGTAAATAACAAACAGTGAAATTTGAGAAGAAGATGATATTTTCATGCCCATAGCTTCAAAAGATTTGAAGTTGTCAAAACGTATTTTCTCAGCTTTTAATGATTTTTTAAAAAGAATTCCAACGCCACCATTAATAATTCATTAGGTAAACACAATGGAAATGCTTTTCTATATAAGCAAGAGATTTATCCTGATTTGCATATGACTTTAATTTTGATTTTTTCTCAAAAATAGTACTTCATCCTAACTTTTTCTAGACAAATATGCTTTAACTTATTCATATTTTATGCATTACATAAATTCAAGAGTATGTCARTAAGAATTTTTACCATAACTTGTAGAATTCTCGCGCGCTCATTGGTCGAGAGCCGTTGTCGATCATAGGACAGACCGATGAAATGACRAATCGCTCGCSCACGGAGCCGGCGCGCGCTAGAAACGGTCTTGTTTTGAAAGTTTTACTTTTTTTCGGCTTTGTTATGGTAAAAAACAAATCGCTACGCTCGTRGTTCCACTTGAGTTTTGATCATTTTCTGACGTCATTTTCATTGTCGATAAGCGTACAGACCATAGAAAAGCGAATTCAATTTGTTAAACATACAAGTCAAAAATTTGAGCAATCGTTAYATGCAGTTTTAAAATATGTTTCATACCAAGTGAAGGACCAGGCTTTGAGAGTATTTCAGCTTTTCTTCTGACGCCTTTGATTGAATGAGGGTTGAAGACAAAGCAATTCCCATACTTATAATGCCAGAAAGTCTTCCAATCGGAGCTGCTCGAAGAGTCATTCCTGAAAACATTATGATTATATGTCACTTTCTCGTTAAGAAATATAAAACGGCGCGTGTCTCTGTCCTCTGATATAAACACGGTGGGAGTTCGAAAAACACGAGAGAAGCAAGCTTAGGAACACGAGCGTAGCGAGTTCGAAAAACACGAGAGAAGCAAGCTTAGGAACACGAGCGTAGCGAGTGTCTCTCTTGCTTTTCGAGTGTTTTTCAACTCCCACCGTGTTTATATCAGAGGACAGAGACATAAGCGGCCGTTTTATATTTCTTTTATAAAATTTTTCGAGCGAAAAGAAAATTTTGCCAGTAAGCCGCGTCTCTGTCCTCTGATATAAACACGGTCGTCAGCCAATCAGAGCGCGCGTTATATATCCAAAATTTTATAATATACGTTATATGTGACTAAGCTTGCCTTAGAAAGACCTAATTGATAAGAAGGTTGACATAATCAATTATTTGTTAAGGTGTTTTGTCTTCTTTCAATTCATAGATCCGACAAATCAAGCGCGAGCGTGGAATTATCCAATCAGAAGAAAGCGCRGGAATCGAACGCTCGCGCTTGTCCCACAAATGACCCACAAATGCTTTCCATTTTTTGTGAATGACATTCTTCGGACGATTTGTCGATAGAATTTCCGATAAATTTTCTTTTTCTTTTGTTAAAAACAATCTGAAGTCAATTTGAAAAAGGCCTAGAGAAATGATTTCATTATTTTTCATGAGTTTTACTTCGTGCACTTCGTGCTTTTTCCGTACATTTTGATCCAATTCAAGCATTTTTCTAGGCTAGTTTTTGTCTTGGGAATCAAAATAAATCGTCCTCCATTTCATCTGGCTGGCTAGCGCTCATCTGCTTTACAAGTGCCCCAGCAACATCTCAAAACCATCTCAACTTCGCCCACCGAACCGACTTGTTTACATTTTTTGTGGGACAACATGGCTGCCATGAYGTGTCCTCTATTTTGATTGTCTAATCCAGCGCTCGCGGATAACGAGCTTGATTTGTCGGAACTATGAATTCTAAGAATTCAACTGAGAAACCAAAATACCAGGAATACCAAGCTGCTTGAAATAACAACTGCTCAGACGGTTACATATACAGCTATTTTATAAAACGTTGAACACTGTGATATCGTATGATGCGTTCCAATACTGACATGCTGGTAATTTTACCATCGTTACAATGCCGAGTTTTTTCAGAGTGACTGTGCCACTTCGCACTGTGAGAAATCGTGTTAGTTTACAATAGTTGAGTTTCGCGGTCTCTTGTACGCTGTGTTAGCCTCAACTGTGTGCAAGATAATCAGAAATTTTGATAAAACTCGTGAAATTTCAAACTTTATCCACTGTCTTCTATACTCACGGATCTCTTGCATTTCACGGGTTGTTAGTGAATAAAAGAATTTATTACATGGTTTTGAGGCTAACACTGTGGAAATGAGATCGCTAAAGGGTTTATTGCAATTTTGCCCTCTTAGTTGTAACCTTTAAGCCGCAAGCCATTTCTGTATTGAAATACTGTATATACATTGGCTAGAATGCCGCAAGAAGTCGCTTACTAGGGACCTTTTGCACAAGTACGCGTTCACCAGAAACACATTGAGTAAGGCACTTAGATTTTCCAACAATAAATAGATTTTTTAACTAAAAATACGCAGAACAACTACTTTTTCTTCAGGGATTATTCAAGCATTCTTTAAGCTTTCAAAGAAAGAATTATGATCTGTTCCTCGTTTATTTTGATGTCCCCACTGCTCCTCCCCCCGTCCTGTTGCCAAAGGTCCCTATACCGAGAGCATTTTTTACTACNCTCCTTTACAAGTGCTGCCGCTATTTTCTCCGAATTCTGATAATCTTCATCAGCTGAATCAGGATCGGGAAAACCATCGTCTTCTTCCTCTTGTGAAGATTTAGTCTTTTTGGCTTTTTTTGCTGAGGTAGAGTTACGTTCTGATAAATTTATAAAGAAATATATTTAAGATCATCTCGAGGTCTTTGCAATTGACCTAATTTCAGACGATTAGATAACTGACATCTGCATTTTTTTTTCTTGTGCTTATCGTTTCAAACTGGTATCCGAATTCTTCATAAAGAGGATTGAGTGATATATTCTTACAGTATGTCCAAAAGCATAATGCATATATAAAATGCCATGCAAAACCTCAATCAAACAATTGCTTTTGTTCTCCGGGATCGCTTTGCTTTATAGCATTCTAGCCGTTTTCCTTTGAAAGAGAGGACTGAAGAAATGRATGGATCATTAACAAAGTATTGATATACAAGCAAATTATATGAGTTTTTGATGTATTTACACACCGATATTTTAGACAATGATTTATATTCCGCCTGGGATTCCGCCATATTGTCTACATAATTCTAAAAGCTCATATGAATCAAAGCATCGATGGAATGCCTTTTTTAGGCTAGTGATTTCAGATGTCACGCTAAATACCACGTGAGTGAAAAGCAAGAACACRTAACATGAAATTTCTGATTATACTTACTTTTTGTATATTTTTCGACGTCACCTTTCACGGAGCCTGGGAGTTCATGAAGGAGTGACTTGCGAAGAATATTGAAATTGCACAACGTGACAGTTGGGAACTCAAGAGACTGAAAAAAAAATCATTTCAATTTTTAACAAGACTTATTTCTCATGGAGCCATCAAACCATGCATTTTAAGAACGATTAGAAGCTAGCMATTCATTTGGTCAGTTAGTTAGTTTAATAGTCAGAAGTCGACATTTGATTGTGTAACTATGTAAATAAGAATGCAAACGAGGCTCTGTGGACAATGAATGATATTTTTGACATATTCTTTTATTTTCCCAAAAACCTTCAATTCTTTTGTGCATATGGTAAGTGAACCAATTATTTAAGAAATATAAAACGGCGCGCGTGTCTCTGTCCTCTGATATAAACACGGTCGTCAGCCAATCAGAGCGCGCGTTCTATATCAAAAAATTTATAAACGTCAATAATCCATTCAATCAATCAAACTACCAGTCAGGTTATCAGTCAGGCACATAGTTACGCTGTTTGTCAGATACTAATTAGTAAGTCAGTCACTGCTAATCAAACACACAGTCAGACACTTCATGTATCAATATATCTGTCCATCACTTAGTAAGTTAGTTATCACTTAGTAAATGAAGGATTCAGTCGCCTATCAGTCAATCAATCAGTCACATACTAGTAAGCCAGTCATTGAATCAGAGAACGATTCAAACAGTCATGTTCAGTCAGAAAACTAGTCCAAATTAGTCCACCTTCTTAATTGAAGAGACGTTTGAATAGTCCACTTCGCGGATAATTCGAAATTTTACATAACGTCGTTATGGTAAATCATTGACATCAGCAATCAGCAAATTTGCTAAGTTTGAAAATAATCTGATTTAAATTCAAAGAGATACGGCACTTCAAAAACACTAAATTTTGCAYAGAAATGTTTGGCCAGGTTGTAACAAGTCAAGGTCAACCTCGGTCTCATGCCRACAGCCATACATTTCTTTGTAAATTTTGCCGACTTTTAAACGCTGTTTCTCCTTGACTTTTCATCGAATCATGCTCAAACCTGGTAAACATACTAATTTCATACTGTTCTTTCCAGTGGTKGTAATARTTTTYCRATATTTGCTCAATTTCTAATAGCTGTGTTATCCGCGAAGTGGACTATTGTATAACATTGCTATTATAGAGTGCCATACCGAGCTATGCTGAAGAGATATACGAGTATTAATTGGCTTGCTTTGATAAGTCTGGAATAAGCCAATCAGCTGATAGATTCCAGCACCAAATGCTCCAAGAAATGCCAACATCCAGATGATACGAAAAAATAGATAACTGGAACCAACAACTCGTCCCAGCCCTCCCCACGAGGTATCCTCACAGAAATCTTTCAAAATCGTCAGAGCTGTCTCTTCTTCATCCTCTCCCCGGTCATCTTCTCGTTCGCGTTTCCATGACGCCCGGCGAGACATTTTCTATGATTTTACCTGTTAAAATCAAATCGCAATTATACTTTTTACATATCGCAGGCGTCATACTGCCATGAATTCCGTTTTGTTTTGCTTTGTTGTTTTTGGTTGTTTTTGGTTGTTTTTGTTGTCATTGTTGTTGTTTTTTATCGATAACAAATTAAGGATGGTGTTTTCAGGTCGTTATAGCTTTTGACAGTCCTGCCAATAGAGCATACAATAAAATGAAATAAAAAAAAGAAAACGGAGTCTCAAGAGAGCGGTGGAACAATCACTTTAGCATGAAATTCCATCAAGATGTTTAAGTGGATGCGTAAAAATTTTCACGAAACTTTCATAAGCATTTTAAAGAAAGCATGTATTGAATTTTTTGGAAATTTGTATATCATGATGAGGCATGGTGAGCTGAGCAATGATTAAAATATTTTATTTCAGTTTCCCCTTCAATCCCCGACTCCCCTCATCTTCGATTACACGAAGCGCATACGAATACATGTGTATTCGATACACAAAGCACAGGTGGCTCAAGCACTGGACTTGGCAGGCTTTTAATTGTTCAATGAGAAAACGAAAAGTTCAATAAAAGCGATAAAACTTAAAAAATTGTTTCAAACTACAACATAGTGTATTTTTCTCAACACACCTGTGAAGTTTCAGCTCATTATGGTAAAATTTTAACATATTATGACAAGCCTGACAAGTCCAGTGCTTGGGCTACCTGTGCCCTCAAAGGATAAGTCAACAGAGCATGCGCTTTTTATGTTATGACGTAATATAGGTATTGCGGTACCAGGGACATCACATATCCGGCGACACATCTGATACAAAAATGTCTACTCTAGAGATCGTATGTAGAAATCTCCTGAAACACGGCGTGGAGAAAAAGCACAGTGGTCATGTATGGACACTAGATGTACTCGAAT